CTAAAGTCTTGGAAGGACTTTTATGAGAAGTGACCCCCCCCCCCCCGCAAAAAAGACAGATTTTACTTACTGGATGTACTAAGAAGGTTTCTTAAAGTTTTGGAAGATTCTTGGGTTAAAAAAAAGACGAATAGAAAACAAGTTCTAGGTCTATATTTGAAGGGGTTAAAATCAAGATCATAAAAAAATTCAAGGAAGGAGTACAGGGTTGGCTTATTTGATCAAGGTTAAAATAGAAAATTAGTTATATCTGGTTTCCCTTAATGGACTTTTGATTATAAAGAACGAATGACAAGGCTTTTGGATTCAGTTTTTTAGTTAAGAATGTATGGGGTGAAGAGAGTATTTCTTGTATTATGGGGTTATGGGGTGAAGAGCATATTTCTTGTATTAAGAGACGGTGATAAGGTATTAAAATTGTTTTTACTTGCTGGGGTGAAGGGAGAAGTTTCGGGTTTTTTTCTTTTTCTTTTTCTTTTTCTATTTCTGTACTTTTTGTAATTTGTATTAGTTTTTATTCTTTCTATTTGGAGTTCTTAATAAAATTATTTGAAAAAAAAGTTTCTGAATATATTTCCCATCAGGCATATGTGGGAACAAGGGCAGGGCCATGTTTCTCCCCATTTTATAAGACCTCTCCCCCTGCTCCCAAAAGTCAAATTCAGGTGATACTGAGTTGGTCAACTCAGTATTGATATATTGGGATATTGAGTTGACCAGTTTGTATTATTTCTCTATTTTGGTTAAATGTAATGCAAACTGTTTTAAGATTCTGTATATTGATAATGTGTGATCAAGTATGATTGTTTCCAAAGTTATTGTATATAGACAAAAAAGGTAAGCTCAGTAATCAAATACATTTATGGTGGTACAGGTACTCCTCACTTACCAACTGCCTTGTTCTGCGACCAGTCAAAGTTAGGACGGCACTGAAAAAGTAGGTTTACGACTGGTCCTCAAACTTGCAGCCATTGCGGTGTCCCCGCAGTCATGTGATCACCATTTGGGTGCTTCACAACCAACACACATTTATGATGGTGGCAGCATCCTACGTTAACGTGATTGCCATTTGGGTGCTTTGCAACCAGCACTCATTTACGACAGTTGCAGCATTCCATGGTCATGTGATTGCCATTTGTGACCTTGGCAGCTGGCTTCTAACAAGCAAAGTCAATGGGGAAGCTGGCAGGAAGTCACAAGTCGCAGTCACATGATGTCATGCTTAACAACTCGCGATTTGCTTAACGACTGCAATGAAACTGATGTCACAAGTCGGCTTGGCCCCGTGACTTTTCACTTAATGACTGCATCACTTAGCGACAGACTTGCCAGTCCCAATTGTGGTCAGTAAGTGAGGACTACCTGTATGTCGTATTTTGCAGTTGATCTCTTTTACTAGACTGAAATATGGTCAACATTATAGACAGATTTCACAGAGTTCTTTGAATGTTTGTTATAGTGGAATCTGTCAGCTATAGCACCATATATATTCTCTACCAAGTTAAAATGAGATATCCAAACTCAATCTATGCCCTGAATTAAAACAGAACTTTCCTTTACTGGCATTTCTCTTTTTTCCATTTTTTCCAAGTCACCCTATTCTGTGTTCAAACTTGATTGATTGATTGATTGATTGATTGATTGATGGAGGAGTATTTAGGTCAGTACTTTCACACACAAACACTCTTCTAAAATCTGGGATTGTATAGTTGCTGCCCATTCACCCTGCTGAAAACAAAGGATCAGATCAATTCTGATTTTCATTTTGATGAATCTGTATGCTAAGGAAAACTGCCTACAAAAAGATGAAGAAATGAATGTGTAAAACAGCATTTTAGTAAATTATTTTCAGAAAGATCTCTCTCTCTCTCTCTCTCAGTTCCATATAAAAATGTATACATTAGGTGAAACTCATGCAAATATTGTAGTAGTTTTTTTTTTTTTAAGTTTTAAATTTAAGTTGTGGAAATGGATACAAAAATGTAAGATGATACATGAGAAAGTAAGAAATACCCCACTCCTAAAACTGGAAGATTTGCCCATCCCTATTGAGAATTAGAGTCTTTATGTATTAAGAAAAGAAGTGATGCACATTTATGTTTGTTTGTTTTTCCTCAGATGAGAACGCAGTCCTGTGTAATATGGGCCCATATCAGAGGTAGGTTTTCACTTGAAAAACCAGTGCTGGGCTGTTGGGGCAGGGAGACAAAATTATAGGAAAAAAAGAAAGTTCCACAAGGATACACACAAGCGTAAATAAGACAGGAGCAGCTCTTTTATGAAATATTTTCTCTTCTAAAATGTCAACTGTAGTACTTTGAATAGCAGTTTATTTTCATTCCACACTGTTGCAAATCTAGATTTAGGAGATAGAAGCATTAGCAACAATAACACTGTTACAGATTTCTAAACAAGTTATACTCCTATGATTTGATACTGGTAAAACACCTCCAAAAGCTGCAGAATACGAAGCATTTTCAATACATAGATTAGACAAAGGGCAAGCTCACGTGCTGCTCAGCCTAAATTCAAAAACCTCTTCAAGCAAGTAGAGGAAGGGAGAAAAAAGTGTCAGGATGAAAGGAAGAACCATCTATTCCTGCTTCTATCCTTACCCTTGCTTTCTTCAGCCCCACTCATTGTTAGCATGCAGTGAGGCTGACTCTTTGGATTAAATGCTGGTTGAAAGGCTTGTTGGGGAAACCAGGTAGCATTGGATCAAAAGCCCCCCCGCCATGCTTCAGGTGTTACACACGTCCCAGATTCAGCTTACGGTCACTCACTCATGCACTTACACGTTGAGGCACGCAGATCTTGTAAGCCCCCTTGCTTTCTGCCTGAGTTTTCCAGATAGGTGCGGCTGGAGCAGACAAGCACACAGCCCTGGTCAACAGCCGGGAAATAATTAGGGACACACGCAAATCACTTTCAACCAAACACTGAGGCACATCAGGTTTTTTGAAATACACGGAAACCCAGTGAATTTAAAGTAAGAGCAAAACTTTACTAGTTACACTCTACATTTGCTCTGTCTCACATGTATATGTGCACATTCCACACTTACCCACATCCTTCTCAGCTAGGCTGCCAGGCACCAGCTAGAGGGACAGAAGCTGCCAAGTCTGGATCCAAAGACGACTCAAGGAGTGGGTGGGTTTCAGAACCCCTTTTTATCCCCAAAAGTTCTTGCTTTGTTGATGAGCTGGGATTGGGTTTTTTTCCATGTGCTCATGCCCAACTTCCTTTGGTTCAGGTGATGTTTTTTCCTTTGTTTCATTAACAACTTGTTTCCTTTTTATCCACCTCCCCGAAGGAATCTTTTAGACAAGATTCCTGGATTTTTGTCCTCTTTGCTTATGTGCCTACTTCATTTTTAGTTACGGCAGCTTCAGCCTAGTCTCACACAAGCATGCCTTCTTTTCCCGCTTTCCAAAACTATGAATCAGCCTCAGAAGCTTTGCAGAGCCTGGAAAAGGGATCTCCAGATTCATACACTCCGCCTTCCAAACTGGAGTGTACTGTGTGCATCCAGAGGAGAGAAATGCCAAGATGCCCCAACAGGAACCATAGGACTACAGTCCCAGTTGTACAAAATACATTGCATGTTCTTAAAGTAATGAACAAAATTTAAGTTTATTAAGAAAGTAAATCCTGCATTCAGGTCAGTGTTCCTAAAGTTTGTTTTATTTTCAACTGGAAAATCCTCCACCTTCTTCTTTGACTTCACAACTTTGCACCTCTGAGTTGAATACTACATAGAGCTGTGACAGACTTCTCATGATTTGGTGCCCATCTGTGCAGTGTAAATAAAAAGTGTTTTCTGGGAAGTAAGATGGCTTTCTCCTGAAAAGGGAGCACAAGGGTTTATCTTTTAATTTTAATTAATTAATTAGAAATTAATTTCAAAAAATTAAAAACAATTTTAATTTTAAAAGGATTTAACTTTTGAGTATGTAACCTGCATAGCATTTCTAGGTTTTCCTCTATATTTACTGATGTTTATTTTCCATTGCTACCAAAAGACAAATCTGGTGCCTAGCACTCTTAACCCCACATGTAAGCACATATGCAAGAGAATAACCTATATATACCCTTTCCTTTTTTGCATGCAAAAGTATCTTGTATTTTATTGTTTACTAATTTAGGTTTAGTTATCTGTTTGATCATTTGCTTATCTAATCCAAGTTTATTTGCAAGACAGTGGTTGAGATCACAAACACATTTAACTTGGTTACTGAATTAGTCCATTTTGGGGTACAGACACAAAACTAACCAACAGGCTGGGTCCACACAACACATTAAATGAAAATGTGGTTTTCTAATTTAGGGTGTAGTGTTGCATAAACCTGAGTGTTTGCAAATGATGTTTTGTGGTTGAATATGTTGAGTGAGCCCAGTCAACTGAACTCTGTTCTGTAAACCAGTTCCCCTCATCCTCAAGTGTTTTCCTCTCAGTTGACTAAATATGGACCAGGGTGTGTCACATTTAATGAACACTGTAGGAGGAGAGATGTGTTAGTCTGTTGTGTCGTGAAATCAGTAGGAGTCTGATGGTGCCTTTTCCAACTAACAAATGTTATTAAGAGGCACAGCATACGTTGTAAGAAGCAATGGAGTAGCTCAACTGATGTAGGATTGAAATTGGGATGAGGATGAAATTGTTAGTGGAAAGGTGTTTTGTGGATTGCTGGAATACATTTTCTGTATGGAGGACAGTTTGTACAAGTTGTAATTTGGTGGTGGTTACAGATCCTGAACTTCATTTGCTTATCTCTTCCTGAACTTTCCTGTCCCTCAGAAACTATTCAGGTTCTTTGACTCACTGTTGTTGTTATTTCTTTGTTTTTGGAGGTAGTTGCATCTAATCCTGTGCATAACGGATGTCCTGCGTATCAGAGCAAAGAGCAACATCTCTGTGCATGTTGCTTGTCAGTTTAGCTTCACCACCACCTCTGATATTCTTCCTATTTTTTTAGTGATGAGTAAAGAGTTACATACAGTACAGATAATATTCTCTTGCTTACATTTGACTTCTGCAGCTTGTTCAGCGTGAGAGGGCTCCCTGCAAATTGCAGGATAAAGGGCAATTCCCACTGCAAAACGTGGGAAAAGTAAAACAATAACTGTAGAGAGAGAGTGTGTATATGTGTGTGTGTTTATATATATATAAATAAAATTGCTACAGACTGTTATTTGCTGAGCTCCATTATTACATGTTTTTACATATGGTAAGTGCTGTTTAATTTTTTTTCTTTCAGATATATCATTCCCCCTGCAGCATTTGACTATCGTTATTTTAGGCTCAGTTACTGCTACTGGTTCCATCTTTTTATTGTTACTCTGCCTAGGATGGTAGGTATCATTAAGTATTTACTTTTGTAATGTTCATCCATCTGCTAGAGTGAGGTTTGTACAAAGGAGCAAGCTAAATATCTGACCTGAGAAACAGCGACATACTTGAAATTATACTTTATTTAAGGTCAAAGACCAGCTATCCCTTTCACAATACACTCTATCAGAAAAACAATAAATGATATATAGAAATAATTTTTTCTAGCAGTGGTATACTTATCGCCGCTTGGGGATATTTGGTACCATCTTTTTTAATACATAATCTTTTAGTGTTAACCTTTAACCATGTTAACAAAAAAAATTCAAAGGCTGGTCCCAGGGAAAAACCATCAGACTAAATCCTCTGGTACATGGCTGCTTCCCACAGTGTGTGTCCACTTCGCTGCTTTATCAGACAAATGACCTGTATCCCAAAACAGATCTTTATATTTTACTGTTCCAGGGAGTAGGTAGTATCTTGGCAATGTCACTGATGCTTTTCCTCACCCAAATTATTAAAAAGAAAAAAGACTTAGGCTGAAAGACTGCAGAACAATTTACAGCTTACCAAGTCTCCTTGCTGCAAAATAAAGAAAATGTGTGTGTATGTGTGTGAGAGAGAGAGAGAGAGAAAGAAAGGAAAGAAAGAGAGAGAGCGAGCGAGCGAGCGCGGTAGCACTATCAAGAGCCTGTTTGCTGTAGTGCCTAAAGTGTTAAGGTACCGGGCTAGAAACTGGGAGATTGTAAGTTCTAGTCCTGCTTCAGTCATGAAGCCAGCTGGGTGACTTTGGGCCAGTCACTCACTCTCAAAGCCCCACAAAGAAGGCAAAGGCAAACCACTTCTGAAAATGCCGCCAAGAAAACCAAATGGACTGGTCTATGTAGTTGCCAAGAGTTAAGGCTGACTCAAAGGTTAAAAAAAAAAAAATCCCTTAAAAAGGCAATAGTTTCAGACAACAAAGAGAAATTATCTTTTTTATTTTCAAGATTAAGAATGTTTAGAATTTACTTTAATCATTGTAGATCAATTCAGAGTTAATGATACATTGTTTCCTGAACTTGGGCAAGCATCTCCCTTGTATACTTGTCCAAATATTCCTTATTTAAAGAATATTCTTGGATGCTCCTCGCCTCTTCCTGCATGGTTTGTTTAGCATTTAGTGCCAACTAAAATCATAAACCTGATTTACTTATGGCTTATGGCTGTAGCTTTTCAGAATAGAAACAAGCTGGAGTTTCTGCTTTACACATTACCTAAATAAATTATGGGCAGAGCTCTCCTTTATTTTGCTGCTCCAGTTAGAAAGAGGGGCCACACAAGAGCGATCAAGCACAGTGAGAACCACTTGTTTGAATGGGATCAAACTCTGCAGAATCTGACTTGCTCCAATAAACCACAGTTTAAACAATTCACCTATTTCTGAAGTTAGACATAAGGAAAACGTATACTTTGTTTAAAAGAGAAGGCAAAAGCTTTCCTTTTTTCACTTTACATAAGTCTGAGCATTTCCACACAGAGTTAATAGGGCTAATCCATGTTTCCATTTAGCTGGTTCTAAATCCCAAAGCAAACCTTCCAAGATGAAATGATAATTGTGCAGAAAAGAGATACAGGATGTTGACTATATAATCTTTAATAAAAATTACCCAATGTGAGACTTCTAAGTAGATTTTTAGTTGAATTTATAATTTTAAGGGTTCTGTGGTTATTATTGATGATACAAATAAACAATAAACTTAATGCTGTAGTAAGAGAGGAACACAGTAGAATTGACCTGACATTTCAAGCAAGAAGAATATATCTAGGGAAAAGTTGGGGAAAGGAAGGAGACTGGAAAGCTTTAATACTTTTTTGCCTGCTATTCAACAATGGAATTACTGGAAAGTATGCTTTTTTATACTGGACTTTAAAAAAAAAACTTTTCAATCCTCTCCTATATCCAGGTTGGGTTATTGATGCCAATGGATGTGGGTAGGGGAATTTGGAAAGAGTTTGAAAGGAAATATTTAAGGTATCTCCGTTTGCATGCAAAACTCCCATTCCAGTTATAGATCCCACACATTTTTTGTCTTAAAGTAAAAAGTGTAGCATCAGTTGCCTGTAACAAGAAATGTAATGCATTTCCCAACTGGGTGCCCTCCAGATATATTGGGAATTCTGTGTGTGGCAGTCCTAATGCATCTGGAGGATAGCAGGTTGGGAAGAGTTGATGTCAAGTGCAGTTTGCTTCTGAACCGATCTTCAGATACTCTTCTGTGGATCCCTTTCCCTCTGAAATGAGGGCCATCTTTGTTCTCCCTGCTAAACCTCACCCACATGATATCTTTTGTGGTCACAAACAAGTAGGTTTTATTCCATTTCTTCAAGCCCTTAACTGTCTTGGATTTTGCTGCCTCTTTTATCTACCATTTTCAATATGTTTGTAAATGTTGCTAATGCTTTATTTTATGACTACTCTGATTATATACTGAAGAGCAATATAAAAATCTATTAACTTTGTAAACATTTACCTATTTATGTTTTTTCTAGTATATTATAAAAGTTGATGTATACATGTGGAATTCTTTTAATAAGATCTGCCTATATGTTTTAATTTTCAAACGTATTACGTGTGAATCTCATAAAACGTTATCATTGGAAATATTATATTCTACCATTTTATAAGAGATTCACACAGATGATATATCTGTCAACAAAACCTATTAAATATATGACAGATTTTGCTGCTAAGAAAGATAAGCAGCTCAAAATACCGGAATTACCACATTTCCAGTTGACTAATGGCTGTCCTTTTTGCTTTGTCTTATTTTCTGTATTTCTGGCCTTCAACTGGTTTAACTGGGCTTGACAAGCTCTCTTTTCAACCTTTCCCCAACGTTTCTTCTGCTCTTCTCTGCAGCAGCACGTTCAACTCCAGCTGAACCACCAAGAAAATATTTTTTGGTAAGATTGGATATTTATCAAATGCTAGTGATACCACCCAGAAAAACAGTGCATCATCTTCTCAGGGATTCTGCAGTTGCTGTTATCTAATGGGTACAACTCCTGATCATCTGGAAGAGAATAAAAACAAGATACAGAAATATGGAGCTATCCTTCAGTGCTCAGGAGGAGGAAATCCATATGCAAAATATCATTTCCTGCCTTCCCATTTAGAAATAGATTTTGATACCTTGTTTTCTTCATGTAGTTTTCATTATTGAAACGTGTCATGTTTATTTACACACATACTCATTTAAGTCCATATGAAACTTGTGTATCTTCTGTTTCAGTTCAAGACAGACATTGAATTTATTTTGGGATGGGGAGTTACTAAATATTTTTAAAGTAAGAACCTTTAATAACTCTTCATTCAAAAATAAAATGGAACATTTATAGTAGAGGCCCAAGTTAAAGGCAGAAATATACATTTCTGAAAATCAGGTGAAATTAAATTGAACTTGATGGAATTAGTTGAATTTGTTTCCCTTTGAAATCAACAGGACTTTCCCCTTGATTTCAATAGAGTCCATGCTTACTTTGGTAATTTGGATCCAGTCAGTTGGTGCATGTTTCTAGTGAGCTGTTTAATGGGGCTAGGCTGAAAAAAAAAATTTTTTTTTTCAACCATTCTCATCACTTTCAGAAAATTTATTACTTTCATAATTTCCAAAGAAGAAAAATTTGGTGAAATGTTCATTTAGCAGAGAGCTTTACAGCAGTTCGTAGCATCCCACACTTCCCACATTGCACTTAAATTATGATGGAAGATCTTTTAAAGGGCTTTTTTTATATCAGAAGCATGGGCAGCCAGCACGAAAAAATGGTAACCATTTGAAGGTCAACTTTTAAGGATTACAAAAGGCTGTGTTGACATAGGAGAGATTGGGGCTGAAATCTTCAGCCCTCTGGATTGTCTCCCAGAAGCTTAACATCCATTTTAAAGCTTTAAATAAAAAAATGTAAAGCTTACATTAATTTTATCTTTAAATTGAAAATGGGAAAAAACCTTGCCATCAAAAATTGCTATTTTGGCATTGAATTTCAGTGGATACCTTTGGAAGTTGTGGAAGCCTTGGGCTGCAAATTGTTCATCCCTACTGTTGAATGATGTGCAACAGAAAAAAATTGCGCTTTCTGTTCAAAAGTAAAATTGGTTCAAAAGCACAAAAAAAAAAAAATTCAAAAGAATTTTGCAAGCAAAATGCAAGAGCAAAAAACAAGCTTTCTGGGAAGAAAACTTTGGGGAAATTGGAAGATACATTTCAACACACTCTCAAATCCAGGGAACCTCTAACTGAGATGCATTTGTCATTAGAATCTTTTAAAATTTAGTTTTTGACTTACAATTTTGATAAACGATCGATGGAAACTAGTTAAGTAAAAATGTTTACAGAACTTTGATGTTCACTTGAGTATTAAAGAAAAACATTTATTTTTCACTGAGTTATCTTTTTCCCCTTATTTTCAAATGTACTATAGTTTTAGTAATGCTCTACACCACACAACCCTCCTTCTTCAGGTGATCAGGCCCATGTATGGCCCATAAGGACAGTAAAAGTATATATACATTTGAAATGATTTCAGTTACAAGTAACTTATGTTATTTTATAAAATGTACTTGTTTTTTTCCTCTCTCCCTTTCCAACCAAGAACATTAGCTATAGCCATATTCTTCTTCTTCTTAGCACTTTGACAAACCTTGGACCCCTCCCAGGCTGCTAGTACTACTATCTGATGTCTACATAAGGATCCAGATTTGGACAGCCTACTCGCTATTTTTATCTGTAAGATGGTAGAGTTTTACAGAGAAATCTAGAACTTTACCTATACTATTTTGTCTCCTTAAGTAAGCAGTTTTGAGGAGAGCACTCCTTGCAGTCTGTCTGTCTTTCCTTCAAATAACTGTTAAGTGAGGTGTCAATATTGTAGTAAGGACCACCCTACTCTCACTTTCCCAGTTCATGTGACTGCCATTAAATTCATCTTTAATTTGTGAAAGATTAAATTTCACAGCTAGGCTAATACAGGGATTTTTCCTTGTATTATTCCAGCTGTGAAATGTATACGATTGATAACACTTATTGACTCATGCAGTACCAGTATTGATCTCAGTATCAGTTTGTCCAGGATTTTCTGAAAGCTTATTAATCTATTAACTTTATGATATATATGAAGTCCTTTATAAAATGAACCAACTATATTGTAAAGAACTTTCAAAATTCACTGTAAGATCAGATAGGGCATGTTCCCATTTGAGTATTTCCTTCTGACATACATCCTGTGCATTTTATTGTATATATTTTGGGAAATAGTTTTATGAAGGAGGGCAAGATCCTAATTTGGTTTCTGAAGAATGTGCAAGGACTGACATTCAAACACAGATTATCCTGTTGAAATTTACCAAGATGCTGATTGACTTATTTGCAGTTAAGAAGGCGACCTTCCCTTTTTCATTGACAACCCAATGAAGTTGCTAAGTGGAATCCTTACAGCAGGGGAAAAGACAAGAAAAACAATGGGGATAAGTGAATCAGGAAATGACTCAGACGTCTGACATCAACACATTAGGCATCCTTAGAAATTAGTAGGTTTCTCTCTTTCAATTCAGCCTTGAACATTTCACTCTTTGGTGAAAACTTGAAGCAAGTTCCTGGAAGACAGTGATAACTGCTGTAGTTTTCCTGTTACTGATAGAGATAGGTCTTACAGAAAAGAGGGTACTGGGGGGTCAGCCTGACATTTTGAAGTTGTAGATACATGGTTGGTTTTTACATTAGCTTTATCTGCTTTTATGGACATTTGTTTGAAAGTTTAAACAGAGATCGCTCTATCGACTTATTAAGTATTCTTTGAAAAAATGCAGTTGTGGGCTATAAGATCTGACATCACCCAAGGAAGATCTACATCAGTGTTTTTCAACCTTGGCAACAGAATTCTGGGAGTTGAAGTCTATATGTCTTAAAGTTGCCAAGTTTGAAAAACACTGTTCTACACCTTCCTCCCTTTCCTCTACTCATATATGATCAAAAGTTTCTCCAAAAGTTTGAAGTCCCTCTTGAATGGATCAGGCTTAAGTATGTGCAGTATGAATATGACACACAGCAAGATTGCTGTTGAGTATCTGAAAACAGTGAATTACTTCAGGGATTTTTTTTTAATGATACAAAACAAGGCAATACAAACATCCAATCAGTGATGTTTGCATAGTGGTGATTGCACTTGCATATGACCAGTTAACAATCACAGTGTCTGAATTATGTGAATTTTCAGCTACAGCCTATGGATCAACAGTTGTGTGAATTGCTCCCTGCTTAGAAATAAAGATGTGAGATGCCTAGTTATTTTGAAATAAGGCCACAATCAGAGCTCTCTTGGATCTGCAACCTAGTTAAGAGGATTCAGCATGCTCAATAGATACAAAATTCTGAATATCTATGGAGGAAAGAGAGAGATTTCCAAATAAAGGGCAATGCAGTGGAATGGAAGATCATGACCCGTAGAACATCATACTGAAATGTTTTATTTAGTTCCTTACATCTAATAACAACTTCGAGTATCTGAGTGACTATTCTTGCATAGACAAAGTAACATCCGTACATGAAGCTGGATTACCAGTAGGTTTATAGGAATACCAAGATCTGCAAAAATAGAGGGAAACTTCCAATAAGTGTGAGGGACTCCCAAAACTGTTTAATGAAGTGTGAACACTGAAAGAACCATCTTTGTGTATTCTTTATATATTGTACTACAGTACTTTATAATACTGTATTGTACTAGTGAATTCTTTATATATAATACTACAGTACAATATAATATTCTAAGATCTCTTAATGAAGAACTAACTAAACTGAATTTCATGATTCTGAGAATGCACATCTGTCTATGAACTGAAAAATAAAATGCCTTGCATGATCACACCATAAATCAGTTCAACATTTTTGTTCACAACCAATGGATTCTAAGTGATTCACCAAGAAATCTTTTCTCTCTGACATTGCTTACTATTACATCATTCAGGCCCTCACTGAAAACCTATCCTTCCATCCTGTGCAAATGGGAGAGGAAGATTAATCTTTGTCTTTCCTCCCATCCATTTTAATGTATATATTTTGTATTAGTTGTCAACTCACTTTGAGTTCATTTATGGGGAAGAGTATATAAATATTTCTAATTAATAAGTAATGTGGTTACTGATGTCATTGACCTTGTTTACTTGTGAGTATGGTCTTCTCTCCATTTCTGCATCAGTGCCTGGGCTGAGCAAAAAATCTTCCCTCAGTGGTGTAAGTAGATTGGCTCTTTCGAACTCAATCAGCTTTTGACCTCCTACATTTATAATTGATAAACTGAATAGCCATCCTCAAATATTTCCCTGTTTTCCATTCTAATGGTCTACCTTGATTGGAAGTTATTTTTACTTACTGAGTTGCATCTGTGATTATTCTTTGCTAGAACACTTTCAAATTCTACTTTAAGTAGAAGTGGCAGACATAAGGATTGGGCTAGTATAACTGCCAAACTGTTGCAAGCTAGTGAAAGGAAGGCTTAGGAGTACCACAGAAATGGAGGAAAATAGCCCTAAAGACATCAAGAGGTTTCTCCCTTCAGCATCTGCCCACTTCCTTGTGCCTGTGATCCTGGAAATGTGGCGTAAGACTTGACTGGAAACATTTCAAGGGGAAAGAAATACACACGGAAGGTTAACTCACTTCCCAGCAGTACTTAAAATGTGAGGAAGTATTTTACATTTGCATTATACTGCATTAACAACATTTTGGGCAACGTTAACAAGTATGACAGATTTACAGCTTTTGAAAATACCATATCTAATCAGAGTGATGTCTCAGAATCTCAGTTTGACATTTTGTTTATTCTGTTCAAGAGGGTGGGGAAAAGATGTTGAAAGGTGCTCTTTATAAAGAGGTAAATTCTTCGGAAGATAATTGTGTTGGCTTCAGCTCTACAATGTTCCATAACTATACTGAAATACATGTAATGAGCACCAGCCTCTTTAGTCTCTTGCAATGACAGAGAATATAGAGATATTCTATGAAAAAACCTTGGCAGATGCACTTATGAATAAATAAACCAATATGAAGCATTGCAGAGATTTGGATCATAGAACAAACCAGGGTTCTCACATCTAGGATTCTTCCAGCTTTCTCTCTCTTAATCTCCCTAAAACATCTTAAGAATAAGATACAAGCAACTTTGCAGAAGTTAGACGCTACTGTTTATTTTTCAAAGATTCTGAATCCAAATCTTTCTTAGCTAAATAATATAATTACATATCATCATCATCATCATCATCACCACCGTCCAAGCATATTTGCAACCCCCTCCCCACAAAAAAAACCCAAATAAAACTATTAAGCCCAGAAATTTAAAATTATTTAGCTATACTAGTGCTTGGTGATCCCTCCCTGATGATTTCATGTGTCATCCACCAATATTGTTCTGTGTTACAACTTATGATCTATCTTCTTAAATTCCATTCAGGTGATCCCATCAATTTAAGGGTAATCTTTGTTCAATCCTTTCATGCTATGAATGCCTTTCAGAGCTGACATTCCTCGAGTTCAAAGCACATGCCTAAAGCTATAAAATAAAATGACATATTTGATATGAAAGCTAAGCCTACCCAAAGCTTAGAGATCCTTTCATTTTCATTTCATTTTGAACTTCTATTGTGGCTTATTTTCATGGAGCATCTATGTTCTTGTGTTCTGTCTTACACCCTAGATAAAGAATAGGAGCACTATTACACTGGACTAAATTGCAGTTCCCAAGGTGCGCTTTGGGGCCTTTTATGAGAGTTGAACCTGAATGATTACCATAATTCAACATATACCCTGTCTTTCCACCCAAAGGACATTCATGAGATGGTTGAATCAAATGTTATAATATTAATTTTTTAAATATGTATATAATAATTTTTATTGAAGTTTACAGATACAAAGATAAAAAACTAATAAAACCAAAGAAAAACATAAAAAGAAGGAAAAAGTGCAGAGAAAAAAATTTAAAAAGAAAGAAAAGAAAAAATATAGCAAAGAAAAAAGAAAAGATATATAAAGAAATGACTTTCCCCTTCATGACAAACACAATTTCAGTAATTTATCACCTTCTCTGATAATACAACAAAAGATCTCTTCCTATATCTCATCTTGTATCTATAAACAAATTCTTAAAGCCTCATTATTCAGCCCTAATCTGCAAAAGTCCATTAAGAATTACCAGAAATAATAAATATATATTTTAACCTTAACCAAATAAACCAACTTCATATTCCTTTACTTTACTTTAAACACAGTAACTTATCACTTTCTCTGAAAATACAATAAAAGATCTCTTCTTCCCACATCTCATCTCTTGTCTAGAAACAAATCTTTAAAGCCTCATCATTTGGTCCTGGTCAGCAAAAATCCATTAAGAGTTACCAGAAACAACATGTATATTTTAACCTTGATCAAAAAGTCAATTTTATATTCCTTCCCTTTGCTTTTAACAATCTTGATCTTTAATCCCTTCAAATAGTGTCCCAGAACTTGATTTCTTTTCATTTTCTCTTTGTTTCTTCTCAGAAACTCCTCCAAAACTTTAACACATCTTTTTTATCAATACAAAATAAGAAAGTTATCCAAGTCACCCTTCTGGTTTGTTATTTGTATATTCCTTTTAACTATTAAGACATCAGCCAGTTTCATTTGTAAATCCAATATAACATCTTTTTCGAAATGATTCTTTTAACCTGTGTCCCAGAACTTGATTTCTTTTCATTTTCTCTTTGTTTCTTCTCAGAAACTCCTCCAAAACTTTAACACATCTTTTTTATCAATACAAAATAAGAAAGTTATCCAAGTCACCCTTCTGGTTTGTTATTTGTATATTCCTTTTAACTATTAAGACATCAGCCAGTTTCATTTGTAAATCCAATATAACATCTTTTTCGAAATGATTCTTTTAACCTGTCATTTTTAAATCCACATTCAAATCAGCCTCAGCCTCAGTCTTGTCCAGTAAAACCTGTTCTTCTATAACCTCTTTTAAATCCATTTTTATGATAGCAGACAATCATAAGAGTAACTTCTTAGTGCATTGTTCCCAAATATCTTTAAATTCTTCCAAAGTTATTTTGCTCCATTTTGTATTAGTAGGTCTCTTCTCCTTTAATTATAATCTTTAATTCTTTCTGGTTCCCTCTAGTGTCCAACCTTCAAAGACCCATCTTACCATGTTTTTTTTCTAATCAACAGCATTTTCCCACAGGAAGGTTTCTTACACTTAATTTCAAAATACTCATATATATATTTATAGAATTCTAAACAACCCACAGGAAGGATTCTTGTAATTAATTTCAAAACCTTATTTCAAATACATCTGGCCCCTTAGTCCATTTATAACTTTCCAAAATCAATGTTCTAATCACCCTTTTGCTGTTTATTCCAGAATAAGAATTTTTTAAGTCTTTAAACTTGCATTAAACTTCTTTTGCCAAGGAATGAAGGAGACTCACCTCGTATAATGAAACTTGCCATTCTGAAGGTTCTTAATATCCAAAAAACCAATAACAAGTAATTTCCAGAAGTGATTAAGAAAGGACATATGCAAACTCTGTGTCCATAAAGGCGTTGACTGCAGCTTCAGCAAAGATATCAATCCCTCGGCTCCCAGAGCTCTAAACCCACCAGAGACTGCTGTCTTACAGTCTCATCATGGAGAGCTATTGCCTGGAGTGCTTGTGGGCGATCCCAAGTTCTCTCCTTGTCCAGAGAGGAATTCCAAGAAACTGATCCATTTGCCGGCTCCTTGTTCTGCCACTGTTGTCAGCTCCACTCTCAGCGGAGCCATTTTCAGTTTGCCATTACTTCCTCAGAAGTCCAAATGTTAGAATATTAGTGAAGGAGCAGACCCGGACTGTACTTAGTGCCTCAGTTCATGGATCTAGCCACCAAGTGCCTCTTTTCCAGTATGTGGTCACCTACTGTAATTTCCTGTGCTGAATAATTTTTTGGTAACAAATTTATAGGAGACTTTGTGTAGCTGCAAATATTTCATGATAATATAGGTATGTAACAAGCTCCCACTCAAATCTTCTTAATGATCTCTTGTCTATATTTATCACATAATTATTATCAGGAATGTGCAAAATCCGTCTACTATATATATTTTCCTGTTTCTGTTGTACAATCCTGAATCATCATAGAAAGCTCACAGAATAGCTTAAATATCCTTGTTTTTCCATACACCTTTCGTACATTCAGGCTTTAAACATAACTTGGAAAATACTGGTTGTGCATTGTATGTCAAACAGTGACATGCCAGTGACAAACCAGCAGGTATTTATTGGCATTTCTTACATTTACAAAGGGGAGCAGAATATTACTTGTTATAGAATTATTTTGTGCTGCTCTGGCTTCACATGCAAATATATGTGCCCTAAAGGAGAAAAGAGTATGGCCGGATTGTTCCCACCTGCAAGCAGGCTGTCTGAATGTGCCAAATACAAGCTCAGAGCAGGTTTTGTTTGCTTTGCATCTATCTTGTAGATAAATATGTTCTCCAGATAGGCTCTTGAATGAACAATGAATGCTATCGCAATGAATGATCCTCTAACAATTCTGAAATCCTAATGTGTGGAGGAGAAAAGATAATGCTTATGCTCGTGTGTGTGAAGCCCATTTCACAAGGGTAAACATTTCCATTCCATCGAAACTATTTGCTACGGCAAGATTTTTCATTATATGCCTTTTCCAGTGCAGCCATTGATTAGTATATCTGCTTCATCATCTAATTTCTCTTAGTAAAGGCTGACTTGTATTTGGCACATAGTTTGATTGTTCAAGTATTTGCAGATATAGTCATGTTCAGTTCTCTATATTTACA